GCAACAACTAGAGGATTCATCCTGCGCTGCAAAGAAAAGTTGTGTGTCTGTCTGTGTGCTTGCATTGATGGCAGCGGGTCCTGCTAGATTGGAATGCGTCCGAGAGACTGTGTGTTTCTGCTTGGGGAAGACGGATTGCGAAAGCATGTTCGCATTTTCACACATGTGGAATTTGTCACGTGCAAGCACATGGACAATCATTTCGAGTGCCACAACCCGGAAGCCGCACAAACTAGCACATGTGGTTTGAAGCCGTGCGTGCTTGTGACTGAACAGTAGCCGTCCAGAGCAATGCATTTCGCCCCGATCGAACGAGGAGAGTGTTTCTTCAGAGGCGAGCTCTCCCCAATCTTGATCAAAACCGCTTGCGAAAAACTGGCCAAAGCGCCTGACCAGTGGAAACCAGCTGAGAGATGGAATGAAGTTTATGACGACGTGCCTTGGGAAATCATGGTTCGCTACCTGCGTTACTGGCCACGTATTGGCTCCCGCATTACAGAGGCCTCAGGCTTCTTCGACGGTACGAAGGCCCCTTCCCGAAGTGTTATCAGGTGGGTGAAGGAGAAGAACCGCTGGAGTTGCCGCGCGTTTCTCTCGTTTGTGATTTTGTTTATGTTTGGAACGACGAAGATGAACAACAACGGCAGTTTGTCCTTCAGATGAAACCCCTCTCACTTGTTGCCATCCGTCTCGGTGGTCCGGGGGAACTTCCTGACCTTGATGCTGGAGCAATACCTTTGACCGACCAGCTTTGTGCAAAGTTGGGGTGGCAATAATTAATGGATCTTGAGGCGGGAAGGCAGAGTGCCAGCAGCTGGGAAGGCAGAGTGCCAGACGTTGTCGCGTCACCCAGCTGTACCCTGCTTCGCCTGCACGTGATTCGCTTGACAGTGTGGTCAACGCAGAAAAGCGCAACATCCAGCAGTTCGTAGCCACTTCACGCGATTTGTGCATCCCTAATACTATCAAACCCTAAAACTATGGCACTCTGCCTTCTAGCCCCAAACCCTAAATACTAAAGACCCTGAAACTCTAACCCTAACCCTTTCATTACCCTCAAACCCTAACACTATGGCACTCTGCCTCCTAACCCCAAACCCTAATATACTAAAGACCCTGAAACTCTAACCCTAACCCTTTCATTACCCTCAAACCCCTAATACTATGGCACTCTGCCTTCTAACCCCAAACCCTAAATATACTAAAGACCCTGAAACTCTAACCCTAACCCTTTCATTACCCTCAAACCCTAACACTATGGCACTCTGCCTGCTAACCCCAAACCCTAAATACTAAAGACCCTGAAACTCTAACCCTAACCCTTTCATTACCCTCAAACCCCTAATACTATGGCACTCTGCCTTCTAACCCCAAACCCTAAATATAATAAAGACCCTGAAACTCTAACCCTAACCCTTTCATTACCCTCAAACCCTAATACTATGGCACTCTGCCTTCTAACCCCAAACCCTAAATATAATAAAGACCCTGAAACTCTAACCCTAACCCTTTCATTACCCTCAAACCCCTAATACTATGGCACTCTGCCTTCTAACCCCAAACCCTAAATATAATAAAGACCCTGAAACTCTAACCCTAACCCTTTCATTACCCTCAAACCCCTAATACTATGGCACTCTGCCTTCTAACCCCAAACCCTAAAGACCCTGAAACTGTAAACCCTGTGCCAGGTCTTCTTCATCCTCGTCTTCTCGGAAAAAACATTAGTTTTTTTTTGTTTTAAAGTTTTTAAAAATTTTTAAAAGTTGTTTAAAGTCTTTAAAAGTCTTTCAAATTCTTTTTAAAGTTTGTAAAAGCTTTTAAAAGCGTTTAAAAGTCTTTTAAAGTATTTTTAAAGCTTTTAAATGTATTTTAATGTTTTTAAAAGTCTTTTAAATATTTTAAAAGCCTTTTAAAGTTTTGAAAAGTCTTTTAAAGTTTGCAAAAGTCTTCTAAAAGTTTCTAAAAGTCTTTTAAAGTCTTCTAAAAGTTTTTAGAATGTTTTTTCTTGCATTTGAAAGTTTTTAAAAGTCTGTAAAAGTCTTTAAAAGCCAACTCTGTCGAAAAAGCCCTGTGGATCTAAACCTTGTGGTTCTGGTTCGGTGCAAAGGGGCAATGAAAGAAGCATAGAAGCATTAGAATCATTAGAAGGAAAAGTCAACATTAAAGTCGCAAGAAGTACAGTATGACTGATAAGTAGAAGAATGCGCTGAAAAAAGCAAAGACGGTGAAGAACGAGAAGGAGCTTCAGGAGACCACGAGGAAGAACCGTGAGAGACTAAGGAAAACAGGGACTGGGAGAGAGGAATTGCGGAATCGGTGGCCTTGAAGGCCTTTGAGGGCAGTGCTGTCACTAGAGTTGTTCGTCCCAACAGTTCACGGCTTGGAGCTAAAGGTGTTTTCAGAAAGATGATACACACCTGTGTGTGTACGTGTATATAGATGCGCCAGTATCTATATCACTATGAGACGCTTTGTGTGTGCATGTATGTATATGTATGTATGCATATATACATATATTTATATACACACAGATACATAGATACAGATATAGATGTAGATACAGATATATGTGGACAGCTATGTGTGTATATATTTCCATGCATACATACATGTCGCTCCCACTGCTGAACACAGCAGGCAGCAGTTGCTGCTTCGCAGCATGATCGCATGGTGCAATCAATCTGGAAGTGTAAACAAACCGGCACAGGAGGAAGATTGCAGCGCCGCTCTTGACTGTCCTCCTCATGGTGTGCTTGACGATTTTCTCGTTCGGAGTCTGCTTCCAAGTTGTGAGCTGCGCCCACTTCAGCTCTTGGCCGTGGGTACCCGGAGCATTCTTGGAATTCAGGTTTTCCTGTACACAGTCTACGGAACAACTTTCAGCACTTTCCAAGATGTGGTTGATGCCTGAGTACGCGGATGTCAGAGGTTCGGTCCTTCTCAAGTCCCCTGTTTGCACGAGGCCTCTACATGGCTTAACGTTGTGCTTTGGTCGATGGGTTACATCAAAGACTGGAAAGCATACTATGAGTTCCAGGACGGGGCATGCGAGACTCCTAAGAAACACCTCTCAAATGGCATGTTGCCGAAGGGATCTAGTAGCGACTAGTTTACCCTGGAATCCGAAACCTGCTGGCCTGGCAGCCCGCGCTGTGGACTTTCAGCATCTTCGTCGCACTTTGCATCATCCAGCTGACGCTCAACATCCTGCCAGCTGCAGCCCAAGAGACTTCATTAATCGCAGCTTCGCCAGCCAAGCTGCTCAGGCCGTCATTATGCTTTCTCACAAGAAGGAAGCCGACCTCGTGGAAAACTACAGCTCCTTGGACGAGAACTGACTAACTAGACATCCTTGTAGGGCACTGCATCAAGCAACGCTTGCGCTAGAGGTTACCACACATTCTGGGCCAGCGAGCGCAGCAAGAATGTTGGCCAGAAAAGCCTAAATCCGGCTCTAGTAGGTGCTGGCCTTAGCTCTCATTCCTATGACTGCGAGCAGAAGAAGTTCCGACATGGTCCGCCTCCTTCAGAATCCTGGCCTGTGCAGGCTGGGACTTCACAAACCCAAAAGAGCCCAAAGAGGTCCTGGCCTAAAAGCATATCCCTGTGGGTCCATGCTTGCACACCATTGGACACCAGGTTTTTGACAAGTGATGCATCTGATATTCCGAGTCTGCCCCGGTTCGCCAGTGGTGAACAAACAGCCCTCCAAGTAGCAGTGTCTGATGACATGCCGGAGCAGACTTCCGCCAGAACTATTTAAAGAGTGGCTAAAAGTTGCCACAGTCAGAGACGCTGCATCGGCTGGGCCGATTGCACAATGGTGTCACCCAGGCGCAAGGCTCTCAATCAGGTTTGAAACCTTGAGATGCCTTGCAATGGACCTCGATAGTAAGCATTGCGTCAAAGAAAGTGCTTGAAGAGTCGGCTTGGGCCGACTTCAGCTTTTTTTCTCAAAACGCTGGATCTTGGAGTTCTCTCGCTGCCTCGCTGCAGTGTCCTCGTCATTCCGTGGCAAATCTCCTTTGACATCCATCCTGGACCGCTCGCCTGCAGCTCAGCAGCTCAGTCGCCTTTGCGGTCTTGGCCTTAAAGTCCTCCCTAGGCCACAGCAGTTGACATCTTTGTTGACATCATCTTCAGCTTCGATCTGGAACCTCCTCCCAGATTTATGTGACGTCGGACTCGCAGAGCTGGGGAAGCTCAGGCTCTGTGCTTTCGGACTGCTTTTGTGGATGCCGATGGAACGATAGACACCGTGGGGGCCTCACGGAAGTAGCGAGCTTGAGAGCATTCTGACCTTGTTCGGCTTAAGCAGATATGATCGGATTCTGGATTGAATCTTCTTGGTCCTCCTCTCCGGAGCAAAAATGCGTGGCCAATTATAGGCTGTTGTCGGCAACCAGGCTATATGGGATCTGTTCTGATCGGGAATCCTCTTCAGGAAAATGACGAGGGCAAGCCAAGCCGTGGCCTGTTTAAGACCGGGACCGGGAAGTCTTGTGTTGCTTCAATTGCGGCTTATGCTTTGCATCTCAACTCGTTCGTCTTCGTCCTCAGGTGCCGTCGACACCAGGAACTATCAGAAGTGAGAAATTACATGCTCATGTAAGCCTGAAAGCTTGTCTCTGGCCATGCGTTCAGAGTCCAGGTCTAGGTTTGGGGGTTTCCACCGGAATTCTCACGTTCATGCCAGGTCCTGTCTTTCAGCTAGTGAGCAAGCTGCAAGTTTGGGGATGCCGAAGCCGCTGAAGCCTCTGCTCCGATCAGGTGGGATGGCACATAGCAGGGCGGTACATGAGGCGATCCATTGGAATCCATTCAATGATTTGTGCATTGCTCGCATTGCCCTGCAGCTGTTGACCAGGACCTGGTTCACTCCCGACTTCCTGTCGACGTTTCCCGTGGATCGTTTCGTTGAGGCCGGCCTGGGGTTTTGGGGGGCATCGGCATTGGTTCGATGTCACATGGGCTTTATGCCTTTGACTCTCCAGGCCATGACTGGAGGTGGAGGTGCCGAAGCTCGTGCCTTGAAGATGGTGCGGCGGCCCGTCACGTGTCTCGCATGTCGCTGGATCCGAAGCAGTCGTGCATGATCGAAGATTCGGATGGTGCGCCTCATGCGACTTCTGAAGCTGGCACGAATGCTGAAGATGGGTCTGGCTCCTGGCGCTCGTATCAACTTCGCAAGCCTCCTGTTCAGTGTGTCAGTCTGTGGTGGAACCGAGGACGGCTTATCCAGAGAGTTGAGGACTGCGGGACTCTCCATCGGGTGTGTGGCCATTCCAAGCCACATCCGGCACAGGCTGGATGTGATCAAGGCCGATGGCAAAGATGCATGTCGCTGAAGCGAGTACCAACAAGAGCATACCGGATTTCAAGGCAGCACCAAACAAATCGGATGTCGGTCAAACTCACCCACCCGGTCTTTCAACGCGGGGTTGAACACCCACATCAGAGCAGACTCCTTGTCCTGTTGAAGCGCAAGGCAGGAGGGGGGAAGATCCATTGCAGCAGAGTTTTCATGGTGGAATGACGGACACCTAGTGACACTTGAGGACCGTGGAAAGCAGGAAAGACGAAACGAGCCCATTATTGCCATGTTGGCTTTTCTGTAGCCGCGACCAAAGCAAGTCTTGGTGGTCCTTCAGCATCTTCATCCAGCCGTGCAGTGCCGTGAATTGCCGTCATGTCTGATGTCCAGGACCTACTGGACCTTTCGCACCTCACGCTAAAGCCTGCTTCCTGTTAGTGCGGGTCCGATTCCTCAGTTGCTAGACTCCCTAAGCCAGGTGTCTGAACTTGGGGGCTAAGCTCACCGTGATGTCGCACTTCCTTGGCTGTTTCTGGTCTGCTGGCAAGCTTGATCAATGTATGGCAACTTCGCGCAAGTTTGCAGCATCTACTCTGGCATAGGCTCGACCTTTTTGGAAGCATGCAGGCCTGTCTCTGCCCAGTGGCAGGTTCTTTGTTTCGACTCACACAGACACCTCAGCCACGCAATGCGAGTCTGGCTTGCTTGGCTGCAACAAGACATTGTCCATTCCTGAGCCACAGTGAAGCAACCGTAGACGAGAGGCCCGAAAAGCTGAGTTCAGGTCATCAACAACGTGGTGGTCCGAGGTCAACATCGGGCCGGAAGACAAGTTTGATCAGTGACCTTAGGATTGGTGATGAGACAAGATGAGACCAACATGTCTTATTGCCCTAGCGAGGTACATCGCCTCCCTGTACTGGGCTTTCACCACGATGACCACAGTAGGCGCAGTTAAGCCTTGGTGTTTGGTAACTTCTTCAGATTTCAGAACTTGTGTTGGCATCCTTGGGATCAGAATCCATGAGCCAACCAGAAATTCAGTTGGGGACTTCAGCACATGCACAGTCCACAGGTTGTGACTTTCGTGCTCAGGCCTGGAAACATGGGGTATTGCGTTGTTCAAGCGGTGGAACAGGTTATGGTGATCTGCATCCGAGAAATGATGGAGAAAGGGCCACGAGCTCAAACAAGCGACTTCAAGTCACAACCGAAGGACACACAAACCCCACCAAAAGGGCCTTCAGTCACTAGAGGTATATGCCATCGTTGCGATGATCTTCGGGGCCACGATGTTCGGCTCTGTCCTCCGGTACTCGAACCGCTTAACATTCGGAAGCAAGCCGACTTCTGATCCCGAGGCTACATTATCGGGTCTATCGCTGCTTTGGCCGGACAGGAGCGCGGTATGGAGGCGACTTGGTATGATGGCATTACGTGGCATTGGTGCCTTGGACGGCTTTCGCTTGAACATCCACCTCTGGAGGCGCTCACAAAGAAGCGGCTGTCGCTTGTCCGCCACTTCTGCGAAGAGCAGCGCATCAGCCAGAACAAGGCCGCGGCCGTTCTTGAATCCTTCGGCGAGCTTCGGCCCCCACTAAAACCTGGTACAGGTCAAAGAAGTGATGCGGCACTACCAGCGATGCCGGCCTGTACTTGTGCCAAGCAGTGCACCAGTCCGCACCGTTAACAGCACCGTCGCCAGGTTCTTCTACCAAGAGCGCTCTCCGTTCAACGAAACGACGCTGATGATGGATCTTCCGAACTGGCTTAGGAAGAAGGTGCCATTGAGACAGGTTCCTAAGAGTGTACATGAAGATCCCTCGTCAGGTGTCAGCGCACATCCATCGAGAGGCGATTTCTCGGATCGGACTTTTTGCAGGTGCGGGCAGACGGCGCGTCTTTTGTTGGAAGCTTCCAAGAACTTTGCTGGGGGTGTAGTTTACAGGCCTGTGTTTTGTCGGAAGGTCCACAGCAAAGTGGGCTTGAAAGTGGTCCATTGCCAGATTGGTCCGAATCCTAGCCGACAGACCGTCGAATCCTTCTTGCAATGTTCAGAACCTCGTCTGTCAGGTTCATTTCTTGGGCGATGCGGATCCTCGAGCCGCAGGCTTCCTGGCCGTGCCAGGCTGCCAGGCCGTAGGCGCCGTAGGACCTCCGAGAATCGCGAGGCAGTCTGCGCTGGCGAACTGGTCATCAATGCAGAAGAAAGCTCTGTGGCCTGCCGCCAAGCCAGAGTCTGTCCCACTGCTTGGACATTCCTGTTTGAGGCTTGTCTGGCTGCTGTCAAAAAATTAGCTCCGTGGAAGGGTTCAATGGCGTGGGTTCATCCTAGTCTCAGCAATCCATGCGAAGATGGCGAAGACTCCGAGTTGGCTTCATCCTCCCTTGGCAAGCAGTATTTCACCTTGTGGTTTCGCTCACTTCCTTCATCTTGATGCCATGGGGGTAAGTAACATCAGGGGGAGCAAACCTGAGATGCTGTGTGTTAGAACTGGGGACTTGATGCCCACAAGACCGGTCCGTGCTTCACCAGCGTACACTTTACTGCAGATCCTGGTATTCGAGCCTCGGTTGCTGCGTTTTCTTCAGCACCCACATGTTCATCAAATCAACTTTGAAGTTTGGGATAGACTGCCTCGTGGATGCAATGGTATGTTTCTTGTGCTTCGGAATGTGGCGGTTCCCCTGCTCGGGTCTGTCCTGTGCAACTGGTGTCTCTTGATTGAACTCCTGTTCTGATAGAAGCGTCGTCAGGGTATATATCACGGTATCCCAGTACACAAGTCGGAGGCCTCTGTCCGGAAAGAGATTCCGCAGGCAGGTCGTACAAGTTTGGCAAACTGGCTTCAACTTTCGAGCGGATGGGTAGAGTTGATGTTGACCCTGTGTTGTCGAACTCATTGATTTCGTTATGCAGCTTTCATCTGCGGTCTGGCTGGACATGGCCGGTGGTTTCGCATGTCATGTCTCATCTGCCATCAAGGGAGATCTGATGGTATCTATCGGACCGGATGAATGTAAAAGGCTTTATGTACGTGCATAATGTCGTGTCGGATCAAGTAGAGCTTCTTGTACATGTTTGACTCCTCAGCCTGACTGTTGTGACTGATCGTACCGGAGCGCTTGCCAAGCATCCGCTACGCAGGATAGAGCTATATCGTGTACGGCCTGCGGCGGCGCTTTCTCCCTTGAAACCATTCTCAGGAATACTCCCTCAACCTGGTTTGGTGGCTGGCTGCGTCAACGGACCACGAGCATCAGAGTCCTCAGCAACCAAAGGCAAATCCGAAGGTTTAGTTGCAGGAGTTACCTCCCACGACATCAACGTCTTGTACCACGAGCACCGCGAAAACGGTTTGGATTGGTGAAAACGGCAGTGCAGCTGAAAGCCTGGTTCGGGAAGAGATCTGGGACTTGGACCCCGAGCGCTACTACCACTACGCCCTCGAGCACTTCCGGCTCGTCTTCGGTGCCTTCTACAAGTTTCTCCTCGGCGCCTATGTCCCTGCGGGCGAGTTCGGTGTTCTGGTTGCAAATCGAAGCAAACACCAGCGACGAAATGCGGAGTCGACTCAAGGAGTCGCTGGAGGTGGCATATCACTCCACGAGTTTCGTCGTGAAGTGCCGCAGGATGGAGCCCCAATGTGCCGGAGTACCCTTTACGTCTGTGCTTCTGAGCGCCTAATATCTTCGATGGTGCTGACGAGCTGGCGTGTCCTCGGGTGGCAAGCAGGCTGCAAGGGAAGGCCCAGCGTGCAAGCATGCAGCTCAGCTTGCCGAGGCCAGATGAGACAATAGATGTGGGACCCGATGCGTTGGTGAGAATTAGTGGGTCAGAGATCCAGCGGATCCCAGCGCTATATTGCAGAGAGCAATATATCATCTGGAGAGCAGGTGCTGTGCAATGCTTCGCAGGCGGGGATGGTGTCATTGAGGACCTGTTTGAGTTCCGCTCACACAAGCTTTCAGAGTACAGCATTGAGTTTGATGCCAGATTGGAGGAGGCTTGGAAATCAACGAGGCTGGTCGACTTGTTCTTCCGTGGCTCGGGAAACTTCAGATCCAAGACGACTTGAGAAAGTTCCAGGAGGCCCGAGCTGTCGTTGAGGTTGGTGTCTCGCAAAGACGATCATGGTGAGAGGTATTGCAAAGAAGATGAAAACGAGGAAATCAACGAAGTGCTGGAACATGGGAGGACAGCGACTGGGCCGACGACGGCTGGCTATGGGTCGGAGATACCTACACCGGCCGTGGAAGTGCAAGGTTCCGGATCCATATCTGAGTTAGGCTTGTGCGGTGCCATTGAGGATATGTGATTAATGCTGCAGAGTCAGCTGATGCCGCCTGGCATTTTCATCTGTTTGGCGTCAAGGAGGTCGATGTCACGGCAGGCCGTCGTCGTCCGGCGATCTGATGGCCCTCCTGGTTCTTCTTCCCGGGCGTGGCGGTCGGCGGCTTCAACCAAGCCGGCGGCGCTCCTGGCTCCTTCCGAAAGAGACAATGATGGGAGACATCAGCCGGATGCACCGCAAGAGCCGAAGCGGCAGATGAGGCAGAGGGGCATGAAGAAGAATTCGATGCCGTTCGTCAGGAGACAGAAGAATATGAAGTTTGAAGGCTCTCTTCGACATCAATAACGTTTTCAAGCCTCCAGTAGGGGATGAACGACAAAGACCAGGCAGCGGCCAAACGTCTCCTCCTCGGGTTGCGCGAGAGATCTTACCATGTGCCCCAGGCGACGTCAAGAACATGCTGTTGAGAGTTAGTTTGTCGTCGGATGTGCTGCCCTTGCTGGGCAGGGGAAGTGGTGGTGTCTTGTGCGATTTGCAGAAAGTACGTTCCGCTGCCCAACAGGCCTCAAGTGAAGCTAGGCTCCAGCGCCGGTGTCTTCAATGCCCAACTTCAAGCTGATCTCTTTATGTGCAAGGAGATCTGGATCCTTCTGATCATCGACGAGGCCACACGGTACAAGCGGCATCCTCGCGGAACCCCAAGGACTGTGCCGAGATCGATGAGCTCGCTGAGGCTGAGAATGTCGTCACTGGGACTTTTCCCAGAGCAGAATATTGGACCCGAATGCCTGCATGATCGAAAGCAGCTGAGTCACCGTGACGAAAGCCGAGTGGCTGCTCCTTACCCAAGGAAACTGGCGTTTGCCTTGGAAAGTCGCATCGTTGCCGCAAAGAAAGCGACTGACACCCTTGTGCGTGTCTATGATTGGGTGTGCTTGCCAATGAGCCTGCAAATGAGTTGTGTGAACTTGGCTGCTTGGATTTGAGCCCTTTCCAGCCATTCACTGCACTGTCCGCCATGCGCAAGACTGTCCAATGGGCGAATCAGGAAGTGTTCGAGCCGGACCAGACTGCCCAGCCGATTTCTGCGTTTTCCGCAGAATGCGGAATGAGGCAGTGAGATGCTGGATTGTCGGTGGATCCGGAAACCAGCGAGTGAAATTGGCCCTTGTTTGTGGATTCGTTCGCCAGCATGGGCATCGTGCGAAAGCTTTCCAATGTGCATCCACAGCCCGAAGCCGCTGCTCACTTGGACGAAGCATGTTGGGGCATGCGCTCGACGATGAATGGCTGCAACCTGGACGAATGGAATCGAGTGGAGTGTCGACCGATGGGCGACACTTTGGTGCCACTGGTGTAGAGTGTCATTGGCTCAACACTGGACAGATCGACTTGATGCCACAAAAGAATAATGTCTGCTTGAGTGTGTGGGGAGCTGGGGAAGGTCATTGATCTTGATTGCCTGGGTACGTGTGAATTGTATAGTTGCTTTTTGCGGAGAGAGAGAGAGAGAGAGAGAGAGAGAGAGAGAGAGAGAGAGAGAGAGAGAGAGAGAGAGAGAGAGAGAGAGAGAGAGAGAGAGAGAGAGAGAGCGAGAGAGCGAGAGAGAGAGAGCGAGAGAAAAGAGAGAGGGGAGAGAGAGGACGAGAGAGGAGAGAGAGAGAGAGAGAGAGATGAGAGAGAGAGAGAGAGAGAGAGAGGGAGAGAGAGAGAGAGAGGATTCTTCAGTAACCATTTTGGCTCAAGGTGCCTACATCGTCTTCGCCAACTACGACGTCTTCGTGCTCTGAAAGGGGGGAGCCGTGGCAGGGAGGGACCTCCCTCCCTCTTCCTGTGCCGTCGAGGGAGGAGTCCATCTGCCGCTTCCTTCTCGAAGTAACTAGCCTGTTCCGCAGGGGCAGCCTGCCGCCATTCGAGCTCACCGGCAGGGTCGTAAGCACTTTGTCGAGGCGGGCGAACTCGGGGCGAACGCGGCTGAGGGGAACTGACCCACTTCTCTTTCGACCTCGCGCAAAAGCCGGCGGGGGACTTGATCCATAAGTACCTGCACGCTGGGCGGGGAACACCTTCGACTACAAGTCTACAAGTTTGAGCAAGTGGCAGGAACGACAAGATAGCAAAGTCTGCCCACACCGAGTTCTACGACATGGCGGAGTATGAGGGGGAATATATATATATATGCCGCATCTGCCGAGTGGGAGGGGGAAAACTTAGTGAAGATACAATGCGATGGAGTGGCAGTCGGAGACACCGTAACCTGGCACCGCCTCATCGAGGCGCACATGCCCGTGGAGTTCACTTGGCTGAGCCGCCCCCTCCTGCTGACAAAGGGGGAAGGCCTGGGGGAAGGAGTGTACCTCGACGTCAGCCTGGGTCGGAACTACACTAGTGTCACTAGTGCAGAGGGGGACCAAGTGGCTAGACAACTTCGCACAGCCAGAAAAATGGAGGGCTTTCGAACCAAGGCCAAGAACCTGCTCAACCATGGCCGACAGCGTATGACCCCTACAGTGCCGAGCCTTTGTGGGAAGAGGCAGTGGGCCGACGGTGGGAGCCAACTATGAAAATGCAGGGACCAACCACTTGTTGAGAAGTGCTCACGTGCTGGGACGAGGCGGGGGACATTCCGGTCGTGACGCCACCCATGCCATGCTCACCACGGTCCGACGGGGGAACATCTTCCCAAGAAACCACTCAGTGGCGACCACAAAGAAAACGACGACGACAGCTTGCAGCACGAGAGCGACAACAAGGCGGACCTCGATGAGAGCTGAGCAGTACGCGCAGTGAATCTGAGTAGCAAAAAATTCGTGTGCACAAGACTCCAGGTGTAAGGAGTCATGATGTGTTGTTCTTTGGTTACTGTGGGTAGCCCAGTGACCTTTGCAATGGTGGTCTAGGCCCACCCGAGAACTTTTGGCAAACTTCAGACTTCTGCGAGATAATATCCCACAAGTAACTTGTAAACTCGACTTGTAGTTCACTGCATATAGGCAACAGCTCCGCCATCGTTCAATTTCGCTCAACGCACAAGCAGGGGAAGTTAAATTTGACCGATTGTATTTTGCTGTCCTCCGTGAAATTTTGTAGAATGAAGGAGGGGGATGTGAATCTTCTTGAGCTTACCCCCTTTGATATGATTTGCCCTCCTTCAAACACTTCGTAGCTTTAGCAGTGAGAGCGTACACTTGTCTTCTGTCCCCTATCGTATAATTTAGGGCTTTAGCCTCCCGATGAGTTACGCTCGTTTCTCACCCCCCATTGGCCGTTCCAAATGCGAACAGGTGGGCTTTGAAGCCCGGCCGGGAGAGAGAGACCACTGCAGAATGCTGCTTACACCCCGCCACAACCACCACTACAGCCGAGCAAACCACAAGGGCCAGTCATCACCGACGTCAACAGCAGGGCCCGCCGCTCGGGAAGAACACCACAGCAACAGCAACCGCCGGACCAACAGCAGGACGGGGGGACACCAGATCCGGAAGCCCCCAGACCTGAGCCACAACCGAACCGGCGACCCACCGACCGTGACCAGGAGGACCGGGGCCCCACTGCCGACACGGCTGACACCTCACAGGCCGGCCCAAGGAGCTACCGCCCAGCAGCAGCCCGCAGCGCCTGGCACGCCACAGCAGGGAAGCACCGCAGCAGGAAGCACCAACACGGGGACACAGCTGAGGCTGGGGCCCATTCACCCGACACCCAACCACAGCAGATTCCAGCACGCACGACCCCGCGCCACCACAGGACCCACAGCCACCGCCAGCACAGCGGGGGACCCACCGCGTGATAGCGGCACGGCCAGAGCAGACAAGCCCAGGTCGCGCGGACAGGCAAAGCAGATGGCCAGAAGGAAGAGGAGAACAGAGAACGAGGAATAAATCGGCTGTGCAAGCCGCTTTCCAGCAACGCGGCTGGACTAAACCAGAGCACCTCGCCTGGAAGGAGGCGGAAAAGTGGCTCTATCCACCTGGCCAACGCAGGCAGCCGCAGGCCTCGTCCGGGGACACCAACTGGGCCGACCTCCTCAACCACCACCTGCTCCCCATCAGCCGTCCGGCGCAACCACAACAAGCAGCCGGCAGCGCAGGGACCCGTCAACACACCCCACGGCACCACACAGCCACCACAAGCCCCAGCCCAACATGGGGATCAACCCAGGCCCCTCCACAAACACCGGGGACCAGCGAACCCACAGCCACAGCCACAGCTGAGCCAACCGAACCGTACGAGTACCAGATGCCACCGCACCCGGCAGAAGACCCTCCAGTAAAGAGGGGACAGCAGCCAGAGCCGCGCCAGAAGCACGAGGAACGACGGAACCAGCCACAGCCACAGCCACTGCCACAGCCACAGCCACAGGATCCGGGGGCCACTACCAACGAGGACGTACGCCGCGGCAGAACACTACCCCTACCACAAGCCAGCAGCACCGGGGAACACCCCGACAATACAGAGAAAGGCTGCTCCTCCGGCCACACAAGGCCCTCGTGACGTGGCTGGAATGGGGGACACCACCAACTCTCCCCCCTACCTTTCCCCTGAGGCGCAATAACAATCTGCTCTGCCTCTACCGGGGAAACGGGCGGTGGGATATGCGGGTTATCCTGGCATCCCGCGGAGGGCAACCGTTCGTGGCCCAGGGGACATATCCACAAGTCCTCCTCGACCCAACCAACACTGCAGGACAAACCTTGTTCCTGCCGGAGGGAGTGTCCCTCCTGGCGACTCCGCTCGGGGACTTCGCCAGCTGCGACCGCCAAAAGTGGGACCTGACGACCTCCTTGCTGCCAAAAGCCTGGCTCATAGAAGTGGACGAAGGTCCGTCAAGGGCGCCAGGCGTGGAGCAGCCCCTCCCGGACAGCATCGACATCAGACGAGGAGACAGTTTCCTTATTGTCTGGGATGACGGGGATTGGACCTTGGTCGAAAGAACACAAGGGGACCTCTCCTTCCGTGGCGTCTTGCAGATTCCCTCGCCCATGGAAGTCTCCACGGAACTGCAAAGAAACCCGCGGGGATCACTCAATACCCCGGGCCAGCCCAAAGCCAGACCACCGCTGGCCCCGCGCAGCCATGGCTACAGCGGCGCTGACAGTGGCAACCTCACAGAGCGCAGCTGGCCCAGCAGCGACGGCAGCGAAAGCGGGGGGCCCACCCGAGGAAGAAGATAGGACAGAACTGATGCAGACCATGCACCGGCAGAGGCCCAGCACAGCCGAGCTGCCAAGTACCCAGGCACCGGGGACACCACCAACGCCCCCCGCACACCACGAGCAACCACAACCACAACCACCGCAGTTCACCCAAGCAGGGGGCAACGAGCGGGGGCCCGCAACCTGCCCCGAGCACCCAGCCAGCAGCAGAAGCGCGGACGGCCTCCCACAGCTTTGCCAGCAACCACCGACAACCACAACCACTACCACAGCCACCTCTGACGGATCCCGCAGGCCAGTACAGACCAACGGGCCCAACAGGGAACACGCAGCGACCACCACCACCACTACCACTACCGCACAGCCGGGGTGCCCAAGAGCAGCAGCTACCCCAAGGTGGGGACAGAGGCACCCATAGCCACACCGCAGCGTCCAGCACCGCTTCCCACAGCCGAGCAACAGTGAATCCTGCAGGGGAGCACCCCCTTTATACCACCACAGCTACCGGGTACCGACCTGATTCACCACCACGTGTCGGGGCCACCATCCAACTCGCAAGCACCGAGGGACCTGCAGCTAAACGTAGAAGAACCGGCGAGAATGACGACGCGGAGCGCTCAACAGCGGGCAATGGTGGAAACCGCGAAGCAACGCCGTATATGATCATGCGAGCCCAGCAGCTCCTACAGCAGCTCATGCCCACGCTGGTCGGGGGACCAGCTGCCGGTGGCCATGGAAGCGCTGCGTCTGCTGCAGTGCTGGACGACTGCCTTGTGGAATGAGCCGATCCGCCTGGTCAGTGACGGGTTAGCAGAGACCGTCCAATGGGACCCGCCACTTGCCATGCCGGGACCAGCCGAACACGACGATCTGTGGCGACCCGCGGGAGCTCGAGAAGGAGAAGGGGACACGAGACGCAGAACCCTGACGGAAGCCAGACGAGCGGCTTTTCCAGGGTGGGATCCCGCAGATATTCCATCTACAGAGACGGAAGATGAAGCGTGGGGACTACAGAGACGACGACGCTCTGCTGTACACGGGGACCCACCGACGTCCCCAACGTGCCGACCAGGGCGAAGCTTCCAACAGCGAGCCCCCCTGAGCGTGGACAGTGAACGTAGCCTCGAAGACCGAGCTACACACCGCAGGCGGCGAATGCACGCAGCGTTCGACCCCAACTAGACAAGGGGACCCCCCTGGCACAAGCAAGTCATTTGGTACATGAGCTGTTGTGCAGTGTTTTTTGACAACCGTGCCACACAGGGGACCCTCTTCTCCAAGTAGCAACAGACCACTACCACCAGCACCCACCAACGGGGCCTCCGATACAGTGTGTGACGTTCCCCCTACGTTCTGGAACCTTGTCCCCGCTGTGCTTCCTCACCCCCAACGTACCGGAGCCTCGCCACAGCATCACAACCACCACCAATGCGGGGACCCAAGTTGTGACGTTCCTCTAGTATATTTTTACCCTCGGCCCTCTGCTTCCCCATGGGACCCGCATTGGGACAAGCAACGTAGTCCACCAAACCAGCACCTAGGTCCAGTGAAAAGCTCACGGGGGCCACCCCAAGTTGAACTAGGATGTCGTGTGGTGCACGAGTGTTGCTTGCTGTAATGTACCTTGAATTGACTGCTTGGTTGCTCGAACTACAGGGGGCCCCACGCTGAGATGAACCAAGCCCAGTGGCGACCGTGAACAAACACGGACAATAGCACAGAGACCCACAAGCTGACCCAGGCGCGCGGTTAACGGGGACCTGAGGTCTAAAGGCTCCAGGGTCTAAGGGGGCTTGACATGGGTGTGGAGGCGCTGAAACAGCTCGTGGGTCAACAAACTAGTTTCACACCGGACACAGACTACAGGCGTTGCGCTCGCGCGCGGGGGTTGTGGGGTCTGACCCCATGCCCCAAACGCCCTGCAAGCAAGCAAGACCCGGAAGAGAGAGAGAGAGAGAGATAGAGGATTCTTCAGATAGTGCAGGATGCAAGGTTTGCGGGATGTTACGGGACAAGCCTGCGCATCGCTCATGCCTGAGGGGTTTCACGCGTCGCCAAATCCGGTGCACGCGCGCAAGGGGGCATCCCCGTTGGCCGAGTGCAAGTAAAACAGAGAGAGAGAGAGAGAGAGAGAGAAAGAGAGAGAGAGAGAGAGAGAATGAGCGAGCGAGCGGCTGAACCAGAGGGTCAGCAGACAAACCTTCCGGAAGTGGCTTCGCAGCTGAAATTCATGGCCGACCAAGCCAAGAGACCAGGGCGTGCCTGCGTGCGGAGGTTCGGGGTGTTCTCCTACTGCGTTGACTGTGGTGAAGGAGAAAAACAGCAAAACGAATCGTGAAAGTACCTGTGTGCTGCTTGGCTTTTGTCTTGCCGCACGCGAGTTCTATGACCTCTCCTGCAGTAGGGAATGTTAGCTGGACCTGTGGTGTGTGGCATGTCCAAAACAGACGGACGGACCACGCAGCATCCATGCACTTCGAAAACCTATGGGTTGTCAGAGAAACTTGGGAACCGTTTGCATGAGCTTGCTAAGCCAAGTGTTTGCACCGATAATTACACGCAGCGGCAAGGTGCAGGAGCTCTTCTTTGTTTTCGATGGAGAGTGCGAGGCTGGGCAGAGGTTCTGACATGGCGGCAGGTGCCAAACCGAATACCCTGAACACCAACGGTGTCTTGCCGCTCCTCGCTCTTCTGCTTAGACCTTTCAACCGCAACGGACGTGGAAGGATGCTTCATTACGAACATTCGAGCTTAGAATCATGTTACGTGTCAGTCTCTCCAAACTCGTTTGCGTTCAACAAAAGCGCTGCATGGTGACTTGAGAACTCGGCTGTGTGGATCTTATGCTCGGGCCAACACCCCCTCAAAGCCTTTCCCCGCTGGTCGAGTCAAGACGAGTCCATCGCACATCTCCATTTTGTGAATTGGATGCAGTTGTCCGAGTCTGCAAAATTTTGGCGCTGAGTGGGCAACTGCAAACATCAGCAGTCTCTTCTATAGTGCCACTACTTTCGGCTCGGCAGGGACAAGATTGGAAAATCCGAAAGGGATGGAGTAAGAGTGATGGAGTAAGGAGAGCGTGAGCATCGGAGCGAGACTGATGTCAAGAACGTTGTCGGGCCCCTCCCGCAAGGCCGCGGGCCAACTTGCCCCGCGTGGCAGATTAGACACACGATCCAGTTTTGCTTGATATCCAGTTCATGCGAAGTTCCTGAAAAGTCACGAGCAACAAGTCAGCTCCAAGCCATATTACCAGGTTCATACCCTGTTGCATGTATGAAAGCTGCGTGGAAACGACTCAGCCATGCAATTACTGCCGAAAGCATTGACGCGCTTACGTCTAGCCAGGCTTTCTACCAACGCAGCGTCTGGAGACAAAGACCAAACGGCGGCCATTCGGATACTGGAGGTGCAAATGCTGCCTCGCCATTCTGCAACCTGTCACCGTATCAATGTAGCTGCAATGGCCTGACAACTGGACATACTTGCCGATGCTGTTCGGCCCTGCCCGTTTCTGAAGCAGCTCGTGATCGCCTTCAGTTTGCAGGGATCACAGCATCACACAAAGACCAGGGCGCAGACATGAGGTGCATGATTCCAACGTGCAGAAGTTTTAGTGGTTGACAGATCAGATCTTCATAGCATTGTGTTATCATCATAGAGCCCTCATCGAACAGTATGCATGGCTGTCAGCTTGTCAACGCACTTGTGGATGCGTGTTCTCCTTGCAAGATGTGCTGAGCAGTCATCGACACACTCGAGCATTCGTTCACGGATGGATGGATGGCACCAGGGCCACTGGGGGCTCGACTGCGCTTCCATTTCTCAGTTTCCTGCTGGGCGGCATCATGCCGTGTTCAGCAGAGAGCCAGCATTCCTGTTGTAACTTGTCTGAGCACAGCGCTTTCTGCTTTCAGCCTTTTTTCAGCAGCCCAATTCCCAATCGTGGCTGTGTCAGCTGCTTTGCCGCTTGAACAGTCGCTTCTATTGCGTGTCAGAACCAAGACCTTTTCAATCTCTAGCTACCTCAAGGCTTGCGCCGCGTGCAAGAAGCATGCATCCACGCGCTCGAACTCCTGGTGACCTGGTTTTCCTTGCGGCAGCTCCTGTGGACATATGTGGACAACGTTTGCAGCTCATAGTTGCGCCCTACGGGAAGTCCGAGGCTACAGACATCCCGGCTCTGGAAGAGCCCACTCGACGTTGCCGAGAACAAGGCGGCGATGCTCCACGCCGCTTGCTGGGCATCTCGGCGGTGATGAGAGCGAAGGGAAGCCCGGGAGCTATCTTGCTGTCCAAGGTGATTTCTTGATCCAGTTTTCCGGCTCCCTTTCCGAAGATCAGTACGGTCCTGAGTTTCTGGATCCCTGGCTTGTGCTCGCTATTATGACTCTATGGGGTCTTTGCTGCAAGCTAAAACCAGAAGCCTTTCATTAAGGCTGCAGGCGATTGATGAGGTGTATGCAGCAGACGCTTTGAGCAAGCCTCCCCCACTGGGCCTAGATGCTCTGAAAGGGCTCTGGCTAGCAGCTTCGCCGTGCCGCTGAGATTTGTTTATCTTCTGGAGACAACGCATGCAGCTGCTGTCAGCTGCTCTTATTCATTGTTGCAACTTGTCACCTTGTCATGAAGCCAAGGCCAAGTTCTCGTCTGGCGCGGAGACATTACCCAGCTGGCGGCGGACGTAATTGTGAATGCTGCCAACGAGGCTCGCTGTACCGCGCCTTGGTGGGCTGCCCTCGTTTTCAGCGAATGCAGGAAGGTTTGGGCTGCTTTCAGCCGACGCACCGCTGCAGCGGTCTCAGCGGAAGAAAGTGCAAGCAGTTTCCTTCCGTCCTTCTTCCCTTCATTTCCCTCCTCCTTGCTTCCACCAGGCATCGACAACGTGCTGCACCGGGCGGCCGGCCCGAGGCTGCGAAGCGAATGCCGTGTGGAGATGCAGAAGCGCCAGGAAAAGCTCCTACCTGGCACGAGACCTGTCTGATTCAACAACCATGTCTATGTCGATGTCATATTCAGTCATTCTTGATTGCCAGCATTTTTCGGATGAGCTGAGTTGTATGATTTTGGTGCTTCATTCGATATCTCTGACATTTTTCTTCTGCACTGATCGTACACCCAGTGTCACACAGCTCACATCATTGAGTTCTGTCACCGGTTCGCCGAACTCCATTGCATATCAAGCTTGAGGATGCCACTCCTGACCAAAGCCTACCACCTGCCGGCAAAAGCTGTTCTGCACGTTACAGGGCCGCAGATTTCACCGGGAGCTTGCCTCAGTTTGCGTCTGTTGACATCGGGACCTGGGGTGGGCTGAGAGGGACATCCTTCACTGCTGCACCACTACAGGGTCTCTGAGGCTCGCGTCCTTCCAGTCTGTCGAGCGAAGAGCTGCGGCTGGCCTACACGAACTGTCTGGATGCAGCACGTGATGCTGGACTTACCAGTGCCGCTCGGACAACCATTTCTGCCACTTCCGGAGTTGCGCATCTCATGCAATGCGTGTAAGGTTGCGTTTTGCTGCATTTCCACGGGCCTCTTTGGGTACCCTGCGCGCGAAGCTGCAGAAGTTGCACTGACAGCTGTGCACAGGTGCTTGCTTTGTGATTGGGGTATGATTTGACTAGCTTCTCGCTTCTCTTCGATTGGTGTGGCAATCTAAGTTGATGGGCAGGTGGCTGCAGGCACCCGAAAACTTAGCCTCGCTCTCTTCCATTGTGTTTGATGCCGCCGGGATTGCAGTTTCCTTTACGCGCCCAGTGCTCGTAGCGTGCACATATTCCCAATCGGAGCCTCGTGAGTGGAGGCATGTCCTGCCCAGGTTTTCACTGAGCACGATGCCTCTTGCATGATCTTGCCTGCAGCGCAGAAGGATGTTTTGCAGCCCCCCCCCCCCCCCCCCCGCTTGGCACCCTGGCAGCTGAGGAGCGGATCTATCACGATCTTGGCCCACGAATCTTTCAGCCCGCCGGCCCGATCTGAGCTCGGGCAGGGAGAGCAAAGAAGGAAAAAACGCTTGTGACTGTCTTGCATCAGCTCAGCTGTCAGCAGTTTCTCCCTCGACCTATCGGACTTCCACCACGACAGGCAGTGCGGACAATCCAGACCTCTCAGAGGCTTGGAGAGCCCGACAACAAGCCATGACATGACACGACGTAGTTGCATCATGTCCGCCGAATCCGAAGTGAGTCGTCACGGCAGCGTGTGCTGCGACCTTGATACACTTAATTTGCGAGGTGCAGACGCAGGCTGCAAACATGGCAGGCTTGGTTGCACTTGTCCATATCTTCTGCGGGCACCATTACCTGATAACCTGCAAGCCGCATGAGGTAAAGTTCCAGAGTAGCACTCTGCCGGTCAGCAACGTGTTCTCAGCGGACGGTAAGAAACGCCAGGCGTCAAGGTGAAGACGCTTCTGGTTGGCTGGCATGTGATTGCGTGCTGGGTACAGAATGCTGGTGGTTTTCACCATGTCGGCAAGCACATGCGTGCACATCCGTGTGCATATATGTAGGATCGGAGGAAACCTTGGACGCGATGTCGTGTACATCTTCCATACTTTGCCATCTCGCTACCCTGGGTTTTGGAATGGCTTGCAGCAGTGTGTCAGTGGGATCCGTTTCGGTTTCCGCGGACAGACCACCGTCTGCCAACCAGCATGGTTTCGATCAATGTCCAGCTTTTGGGCTTCTTTCAAGATTTTGTGTTGTGTTCGGCACTGCATGCTCACCTGCTGCCTTCGTAATCCTTGTCTGGAGACCACTGCTTTGCGTGCCAGGTTTTCTCTCCCGGTTGCATGTTCGGTCTGGAGCACATCATGTCGCAGAACCAGAGGTGCTCACCAATTTCTGAATGACGTTTAGTGACGGAGTTCGCGAATTAGAAAGCCGCATTTCATCAGGCATTCCGTCCGCTGCAGCAAAGCGGGACCATGCTTGCTCTACGCCAGCATCTTACAGTCTTACATGGCGTGTTCTTGGTGTGCCTCACGTCTTGAACGAAGCGTCCCTCGCGAAGTGAGCTTGGGGTTATCGGGGGGGGAGGGGGGGGGCAGATTTTGGTGGGTTTTTTCGGCTATCACCCACCTGGAGCTGGGAAAATCGTCGTGGGCGAGTGTGGGTGTGGCTATCGGGGACAGGTTGGTGTTTAAATTGCGGAACGAGCGTTTATGGATTGAACATGATTGAACAACAGTGTGATGATGAGAGTACAAGCCCTTAGTAGTAATGGCATCATCAGTGACAGGAAAGCTGAGACTTGACATTTGTGAGTGCCGTTATGTGCACTTGACGTATTGCGCTAGGCATGCTGTAGCATGTCTGTTCGTCTATGTTTAGCAAAGGTGTCTGTCTGTCTCTGTTTAGCAAAGAGTTGCGATGTTGGGTCAAAACTGTAAACTGCTCTCGCAAATGTTGCTCTCTGCATCTTCCGGTCTCACTTTGGCTTCACTAAACGATGACGCCAAGCACCCGCCACTGCAATTCAATACATAGCTGTCGTCTCGGCTGCTACTTGCTGCTGCAGTTTTGTGGGAGTGTGGGCGAGTGTGGGCGTGGCTATCATGGACAAGTTGGTCTTCTGTCTGTCTCTGTTGAGCAAAGAGTTGTTATGTTGGATCAAAACTGCTCCCGCACGTGTTGCTCTTTGCATCTTGTTGTCTGACATTGGCTTCACTAAGCGACGACTGCAAGCACACGTCACTGCAATACATAGCTGTCGTCTCAGCTGCTGCAGATTCCTTGTGAGAGGGCGTGTGAGCGAGTGTGGCGCGGCTAGCAGGGACAGTTTGATATTTGAATCGCGGAAATGCGTAAGATCGAGCGTTTATGGATCGAACAACAATGCGGTGGTGATAGTCCAAACCCTCGCTGCCTCGCCTGCTTGTATATCTGGTCATGTTGCTTCCGTGTCACCAGCCCTGCTCATGCTAGAGCTTTCGTCCCAGCCTGTGGCTTTCAAGCGGTTCCACTTCGAGAAGATGTTCTGGGGTTAAGATGGGTTAAGTAAGTATAGATGTTGAGAATCATGCTGATATGTGATTTGCTTCGCTGCATGGCCGGTTGGGAATGAATACTCCCACCACCAGCCATTGAGGCCCAGGTGGAGAAGGGATTCGGCCACTTTTCTTTCCTGCTATGCTCGCTTCAGTCATCGCAGCTTCTCGGGTTGATGGGTCGCGGAGTGAGGTCGTCCTAGATTCGGTCAGTGTACATACTATGTACCTGTCATCGACCGCGGACAATATCACGCAGAATCCAGACTGCAATTGCCGCACTGTCTGTCCTCGACCTGTTAATTAATGTGATTTCCGGATGTCTGGTGTTAGCAAAGCCTGCGCGTTTTATGCAGCGGAGAGCCGTGGACCATAACAATCGCAACAGTAGTATAACAGTAAAATGATTGGATCCTAAAAAGGCAAAACTCTCATCTCATGATGACACATAGAGGCGGTCAAAACGGAATGGCCAAGTAAAGCCTAAGTTCCATCAGCGGGGTGACCAACCCGGTAAGGAGTGGCCGCGAAAAAGGAGTGGCCATTTTTGAAGGGAGTTGGCCGCCTCTTGCAATGCAACAGGAGCAGCCAACCGTCAGCCGAAACCATGAACCCCTGGGCCTGCTGTGGTTGTTAACCCTTTCGCCGGCGTGCTTGCTGGGACCCCAGGGGGGGACTAAGGCCTAGGATTGTTTCCAGGCCGAAAAGCACCCAGCAAGCGGGCGTGGGGGTCACAGTAGGGCGACAGTGCCGGCATTTTGGATCTCTTTGCGGCTGGAGGCTGACGTGTTTCTTGCGGGAGGGTTCCCGGTTCGAACCTGGTGATCGCGCTTCTACACTTGACATGATCTGATGGAACAGCTACTAGTGGATCCTGTTTCACGCGGGGACTGAGCGGTTACGCAAGTTTCAGTCATTGCGCTGATGGTACAGCAGTTCGGCTTGATTGCGGTTTTCGCCTGGTATGGGTGGTTCACACGTGACATGAGCTGATAGGACAGCTGTCGGGATGCATCCCGGTTCGCGCCTGGAGTGCGCGGCTACGCAAGTGGCAATGAGCTGATGGCCCTGTCGGGATGGATCCGGTTTGCGCCTGGAGTGTGCAGTTACGCATGCGGCTATGAGCTGATGGAAGCTCCGTCGGGATGGATCCCGGTTCGCGCCTGCATGGTATGCGCGGTTACGCAAGCGGCAATGAGCTGATAGCCCTGGCGGGATGGATCCGGTTCGCGCCTGGAGTGTGCGGTTACGCAAGTGACAATGAGCCGATGGAAGCTCTGTCGGGATGGATCCCGATTCGTGCCTGGAGTGCACGGTTACGCAAGCGGTATTGAGCTGATGGAGACTCGAGTCGGGATGGATCCGGTTTGCGCCTGGGGTGCGTGGTTGGCCACCCGGTTCGCTTGCCCTAAGAGGGTTTTCTTTGTGGTTTGATCCTTAAGCCGGAGGTGATGCCACTGCTAACTAACAGGCCAGGCCTTCGGGTCTCGGTCGTCCCTCCACGCCATCCACTCCACTTCAAAACCATGAAGGGGACAATGTGCACTGACTCGTCTCTTTGAAATTCTAGGGGCTGCGCCCAGGTGCGGGCATCGCGAGTTGTTGTCAGCGGATGTAGCGGGGGAACGGGAAAGACACGGTCAAAATTTCCAGACGGTGCCGAGACAACGACAGCTCGACACCGGAACAAAAGTGCAACGTAGGCCCGAAGTGCACAACTTATGGGTGATCTTACGCTCTTAGCCCTCGTCGGCCCTCCATGTCGCCCGCATCCGCCCTCCGCCGGACCCCGCTGATGCTGATGATGCGCGCCCTTTTGGGGCTTCCGCAACCCAAACAAAAACTTGGAAATCATCACTTCGCGCCGCGGGGCCGGTTGCGGGCGCCCGAGTGCTCATGATGCTCGCCGGCTCGCCTCCTGGGGTCGTCCACGGCGGCCCCGAAACCCGCCATGCCGTGGGGAATGGCTGCGAAGTGCGTGCGCGTTCCGAGACGCCTCCGGGCCAGGGCCCGCGCGGCCCGATGGAGAAACGAAGGTCCGATGATGCGGGGTCGGCGGCGGGTCGGCGGCACAACCCGTCGTGGCTTTTGCTTCGCAAGACAAGCCCATTCGTCTGAGCCATAGCTCAGTCCATACAGGGCAGCGAAGCGCTGCCCGATTTAAGAGCCTCCGGCTCAAGCCGCCGACCCCGTGGGCGACAGACCAGAAGCCGAATGCACTTGTACAGGCAAAGTCGTTTGGTGTCCGCGAGGCCCGGAGGTATAGTTCTGTGAGACCAAACGGGAACCTTCAAGTTGACAAGCTTCGCTGGTGCGCTTCTAAGATTGTGAGACAAAACGGGAGGAAGAGGGGGAAGCACGCGAGGCTGCGCGACGATCACGCGAAGTAGGAACAAGGAGCACTTTGGAGCGGAGATGCCAAGGTTCAAAAGGAAGAAGGGGGCAAGGCGGGTGGGGGGGGGGGGGGGCGCAGGGGGAGGGGGGAGGGGGGGGAGGGGGGAGGGGGGAGGGGGGGGCAGGGGGGGGGGGGGAAAAGGGGGGGAAGGGGGGGGGGGGGCGGATGTAAACGGGGCTCCTGGCCTGTGGCATGAAAGGGTACCCCGCTGGTGGTAATATTGCGTGGCCTGTTCGTACAAAGCTCTTGCTGCATTGCGTTCATGGTGGTGGTGGCGTGCTTGGTTTTGATAGGAGGCTCAGATTGGAGACGGATGTCGTAGAGAGAGTATTCTATCATCACAGCCTCGTGCCAATAACCGGGAAACCGACAGCATATTCTTCGGCATGCGCGTTCGAAGACGAAGCTTCCCACTTCACCACCGTTCCCAACTCCCTCCGCCGAATTAGCATATGTACTCCCTTTACGAAAGCGAAAGAATGCTCCCGAGAAAATGCAAAAGTGATCAACGCAAGCGAGGTCTCATCATCGGCTTGGCAAAGCACATCGTTTCAGGGTCGGGGGTCTGCTACCCGAGATTCGGGGTCTGCCACGCAACATAATGGGTTTAAGTGGCCAGGGTGCAGGGTTTTCCTATCGTTTTTCTGCTTTTGGGGTTTGCCAGCAACGGTCTTACTGTGTGGTAGAGGTTTGTTGATCAACATTCGTTTTCCTTCCATGGTTCAGGGTTTGCCGACCAACCGCTTCTTTTGTAGGCTTTTCGGGTGCCAACCAACGCGACATGTTGGCTAGGGCGTGCCAATCAACATGTTATTAGGGTTTGGAGGTATTCGGGCGTTGCCCCGGGGTTGCGCCCCGACATAAACAGTAATAGTGAAAAGCTGCGATGTCGGGCTTGCCACCAACCTCTTCTCCGTGTACGGTTGATTTTTCAGCCAAGACTCTTTCCAGGTTCGGGTCAACTCTCCTTCGGGAACTTGGTTTTGCCACAACATCAACGTTTTTAGGGTTTGGTTTTGGCAACCAATGCCTACATCGCTTAAACCCCTCAGTGTAGCCTCGCACAGGTGTGTGGGCTTTTCGAAAGGGTACAAAAATCCTTCTTCGCCGAAATGCCAAATCGAAAAACAGTTCGGGTTAACGTCTTTGATTCACCGGTTTAGGATCAGGGTTAGGGTTTTGTGACTCGCACAGGCACACGCTCAAACAAGAAAGCAGCCACCAAGATTGAAAGCAAACAGCAAGGAATGGCCAAGCCTGGGTGTTTGGCCGTACCCCAGCGGGTGAACCCTAAAGGAGTGAACCGGTGTACTTCCGGGAGGCAGTCGAGGATCCTCGGAGTTCGGCGAGACTGCTAAGGGAAGAGTCAAGGCCGCTAAGGCGGATTTTTGAGTGGCTTTTTTTTCCAGAACTGCTCTCGATGCTGAGGGAATCGTCGCCGAAGCAATCCAGAATTTCTGTTGTTTCCCGAATCCACGCCTCGTTGCTTTCGAAATTGTTTTCTCGAATCGGTCCGCAGCAGTCGTGGGGTAATCCGAGACACGAACTGCAGAAAGTCAGGCACGAGACGCGCAACCTCGTCCTACTTTCCATTCAGGATTCCATTCAGACGCTTGTCCGACATGAACCTTGGGCTCTTTCGTCTCTTCATCTGGCGAGACCGAATCAGTGTCGGTGTCCTGCTGAAAGCCAAGGGTCTGCCAATGTTGAAATCAATCTGCCAGACATGAAGATTCAAGTTGGCAAAAGGTGCTCCGACAATCGACTTTGACAGAGGCGGGAAAGGCTGCAGTTCCAAA